AATTGAATGATTAGTTGGTTAGTTGATTAAAAAATTTTCTAACCAGTTAGTTGGAAAGTTGTCAACTATTCGGTTTTTTAACTAACAATTTGGAACACTACCTCTGATGCCTTGAGAGATACCATGTATTAATGGGTTGATTGCCAGGACATAGAGAAGAGGGGAGAGCGGGTCCCCCTGCCTTACCCCTCTTTCAACCCTAATTGGCTCATAGATTTGTCCTGAATCAACTATGCGCACTACCTGCAAAGAGAACAGAGCCATTATAACTCTAATGAATTTGTGGTTGAAATTCATTTTTTTCAGCACTATATTTATGAAATCGTGGCTAATTCTGTCAAAGGCTTTTTGTTAATCCAGTAAAAGAAGCCAGTGCTGCTTGGTTTGGTCTTTCTGGCTCTTTAGTGTTGTAAGAATGTCCATTGCTAAGTCCATAATCAATCTATTGGCAATAAAAGCCTGCTGCACTAGGCCAATAATATCATTACAGATTGGGTTAATTCGGTTCGCTAGAGTTTTCATGAAGATTTTTGCATCTGTGTTGACCAATGAGATCGGTCTCCAATTGTTAATGTTTTCTAGCTCATTGTTCTTTTTGGGGATCAATGTGATTAGACTTCTGCTCATGACCTTGGGATCTGGCCTGTGTTAAGAACCTCATTAAAAATCCTGGCTAGAATTGGAGTAATTGTCTTCTTTGTATCTTTATAGAATTCGTATGTGAGGCCGTCAGAGCCTGGAGCCTTGCTGCTAGAAAGTTTACTAATTATTTGGCAATTTACTCTTCAGTAATTAACTTGGTTAGAGTAAGATTTTGTTCTGAGAAAACCTGTGCTAGATTTTCCATAAAATGGAGGGCTATTTTCTTATCAATAGCTTCCTTTTTGTAAATATTTTGGTAGTCCTTGATATAACTTAACGTTTGTGCCTGAGAATAACTATCAGGGCTGTTTAGATCTTTTATTTTAGAGCAACTCGTAGTAGAATGTCTTTTTTTATGGAGTGTGAAGAAGTATTTTGTCGACTTTTCTTCTCTTCAATCCATTTGGCGTTAGATCTAATCTGCCATATTTCTGAGAGGTGCACTAATTCTTCCTGCAGTTTTAGGTTAAGGTCTTCTGTTATTAGCTTGAGGTCTGCTAGATCTGGGTTTTGAGCAGTTTTATTATTTAGGTTGCACAACCTCTTGTGTAATCTTTGGATATTTCTTTCTGGGGGGACTGGGTTTGTGAGCTCTTATTAACGATTGAATTTTGCATTTTTGGTAGTCTCAGTCTGAGGTGTCGTGGGTTCCTTGTATTTTCTTCAGAATACCCGCTCTAAGCTCTGGGTGTCCCAGAACTTTCTATTGAATTTCCATTGTGAGCCATAGGTATGTGATGATTTAAAGCTAAATTCTGACTCTACCAGAAGATGATCGGAGTTTCCAAATCTTGTACAAGTGTTCATTCTCTGACCATTGTGAGTTGACTGATAGAAGGTAAGAAAGGGACCCTCATTAGAAGATGAGACTGTGTTCGTGTAATCAGTTAGGAGGGTTTGTACTATGTTCTGTGAGTAATTAGGTTGTATCGTTGTATTACTTATTCTGTTTTTTTGTGAGTCCAAGTTGGTGTTGAAGTCACTAGCGATAATGTATATTCTTTCGTTTGTTGTATTCGGTGTCTATTCTTCAAAGAAATGAACCCTGTCCTCTTGTCTTGGGGGTGCATATATGTTAGTAAACTGGAACGGTTGTTGATTGATTTCCGTGTTGACAGAAATTATACGGCCATCTTGAGATTCTCTAATTTTGGTAAGTTCTATATTTTTTTTGCCGGCTAAAATGGCCGTTTTTGAGGACCAGATTGAGCTGTATCCTCATTGCTGAGCTAAAAAGTTTCTTGTTTTGAGGTCTTTAAGATTAGTTTCTTGAATTAAGATGATATTAAGGTTATACGATTTGAGTAGTGTCAGTGTTTTTTGGGCTTTAGGCCTATTATTTAGATCTTTTACATTAAGTGTAGCAACTTTGAACATGATAGAAGAATGGAGGTATAAAGCTACACTAAGAGTAAAGGTCTTAGTGCTGATTTCCTGGTTCAGGCATGCTCTGTTAGATGCTCCTGGAGGCCTTATACTGTTGAACTGGGTAAGGGTATTTCCTAACCTCACTATTCTTTTTTCTTTCGTTCTTGTTTTTTGGCTTTTTATAAGAGACAACTGTGAAAGGTACTTCTTGTAGGCTGTTAAGAGTGGAACCAGACTCCAGCTCGTTTGAAGGGACCTCCCTTATTAAAGTATCTGGTATAGGTTTGTCTGTCTCTTCTGTTATTGCTTTTGGTTCAATTTCCATGTTTTGTGGTTCTCCACCTTTAGTATTTGCTATTGAGGCACTTGATGTATTTATACTTTCTGGTAAGGTTTCTGTTATCACATTTTCAGAAGTGCTTTTGATATGGGGATTGTTTGGGCTGAATGCAGAGTTCTGAGTGGTTGTGCTGCAGGTTTCTGCATCTTGTTTTCTTTGTCTGGCTACCTTTAGTAAGCGTCTTGCTTCTATTGAGGCCTTTAGTTTACTACACTCTTTTTTGATGTATCCTTCCTTCTCACAATAATAACAACCTTTCGGGGCTTCCTTCCACTCAGTTGACACTTTGTGGTCCCCTATGTGAGTAGTTCTTGGAATTCTAGAGTATAGATAAGGATTATCAGTTATCTCGAAGGTAATTAGCCATTGATCTGAGCTAATAGTTGTTTCTTCAAATAAAAGAGGCTTAATTGCGGCAATTTGACCAACATTTTGGAATGCTTCAAGAATAAGACTTGTAGTGTGTTCTGTGTTGCCCATTGGTGTATTTCTAAGTTTTACCATAAGGAAGGAGCATTTAAGGTTTATGGGAATGTATCCGAAAAAGGTTTGTTGAAAAATTGTAATTCCTTCTATGGCATAGAATTGTGCTCTCTCTATACTATTGAAGACTAGCTCGAGAGAAGCCCATTTTCCTTTGAAAGAGTGACTTTTTGCAGCTATAAGGTTCCCATTAAGTTTAATTGCTAATGTTGCAATTATATCATTAGTGAAGACATTGCTTAGGCTTTGTATATCAATGATTAAAGCGTTATCATTCCTTGAGTGGATTTTGTGTCTTGGCGATATGTTTGTAAAGCTGGCTTTTCCTCCTTTGAATTTGGTGAACAGGTTAGACCATTGTTTTGGTCTAGCAACCCGTGTTGGAGTTGAATTGGCCTTTGTGGAGAACTGCATACTTGCTAAAGCACCCCGAATTAGCCAGAGCGACCCCCAAATGTGCGGGTCAAGCCACATATTAATAACCAGTAGTATATTGAATTTGTTTTAAGAAATTTTCACAATACTGCAATAATAAAAGCTGCATGTAGGAGCTGGACGATTCAATCATTTTCTAGGAAATTATGCAGTGGTTGTGGCGCTTATCAAGTGACCCGCACTTTTGGGGGTCGCCCTGGCTAATTCAAGCACCCCAGGTATATACTTTATGTTCCCGTATGCAGGGAGCACGTGTGTTTCTGGTTGATTGTCAGCTGCCAGATTTATGTATACGTCATTGTTTGCATCATTTTTTTTTATTCACGCTTTGAAGGGCATTTTTGCTCTTGTCTACAGTTTCAAGTTGAACCTCTTCAACTTGAGTTGCCTAGCTATTTGTGGCATTTAAGGCGTCTGGTTCTTTTAGTTCTATTAGGTTTGACCCAGCATTGCTATCTGAACTTGAGACTTTATCCTTGTTTTTCTTGTCAGACGCAGTTTGCACCATTTTTCCTTTGCCTTTCTCATTTGTTTGAGTTGATCTATCGATGTTGGCCTTGTTAGGTTCTAGTTTATTTAGTTTCTTGGAGCCCTTAAGACCAGAGACATGGTTACTGTCCCGGCAGGAGTTTGCCATCTTTAGGTTCTCTTTGTCTTCATCATTTTTTGCGAAGTGGAAAATTTTTTCTTTATCTTCTTTATTTTCTTCTTTGTTGTTATTTGAGAGTTTAGCTTTCTTGTTGGAATGTTTGCCCATGTCTAGTGTAACAAGTTTGTGTTTGATCAGCTGAAGGGCTTTCGCCCTGTCAGAATTATGTAAAGGAACTTTAGAGTTTTTGCTAGTGATTTTTGGTTCTATTGTGATCCGGTAATAAACCGGAGAGAGTTTTTACTACTATCTTTTTTAACCTCATAATCAATTGATGTATATAAATTAGTTTGAAGTTGAGTAATAGCATCCTTTAAAAAAAAAAAGACAATCCCAAGAATAATATGACGAATTCCACCTTGTGGACATATCTTGAGTATAACACACAATATCTGTATAACCCAATTTTTTTTTGCACATTATCTAGTCTTTCTATTTGCTTTGGTGATTGAAAAAATTAAACTAATCTTCTTGCACATGTTACTAGAATTTTAGCTGATGCAAGTCTTTTTTCAATTACCAATTAAAAAAAGTGTAAGCTGTATATGAAAGACATTTAATATTGTTATATCCTTCTTTTTGGTTTAGTAAAGGAAATATTGCAATTATGTTTGACCTATTGTCAGTGGTGATTGAAGCTATTCAATGTTCAAGATTTCAGACTTTAATATACTTATAAAGTTCATAAGCAACTACTCTACTAGAATGTAGTAAAGAAACATATTTGTTTTTCAATATTACATCTTTTATCTCAAAATTTAGTGTAATCCAAGTAGCAGTTATTTCTAGATAACTATGCTTGGCTCTACTAGACCAAAAATCTATTGTAAAAGAAATACTTTTTGTTGTTTAAGTAAGAAGATTTTGTAAATTTTCTTGATTAAATTTGTAACTTTTAATAATCATAGTTTTAATTTTTTTTTTTCCAGGTATACTAAAAGCAGGATTGAATTTAGCTATTTTTTCTTTGTAAGCATTATTAGTAACTATAGAAAGAGGCTTATTCATGAGTAATATCCACTTCAAAATTGCTTCTTCATGCCTTTTTTGAATATGTTTAGAGTGGGGACGAACTTTTTGCACAAAATTAGTAATTTTGAAATCTTGGAACTAAAAAAAAAACTTATAAATTTATTAATTATTTCTATATATAATTCTAATTTTATTTTATATACATTTTTTAAAATGCCTACTCCATCTTTTGCAATGATTCCATGGCAATCTCTAAGATAGGTAATAAAGATTTATTATTGAACTTCTAACATTTTTGTATTCTTTATTACATTTTATATCATTTTCATTTACACAAATGTATAAGTATTATGAAATGCATTTGTAAATGGACAAGTGAAGTAAGTGAATCAAAGATAATGTAGCTTAGCCTATTTTATTAGGTTTGCGTCTAATTGTGGAGTCACGTGTTACATTATATGATTTTTATATATCTAAGACTATCCATTTCTAATCAATCTTTAGGCTGTTCATTATTTTGTCTCTACATATGTTTTATTTCTATATATATATCTATATTTATTTATTTATCTTAATTGTTTTTTTTTTTACTTTTTTATTTATGTTATTCCTTTCATTGATGTATATATATTGGATGTTGTGTGGAGGGTTGTGGCAGGTAACGATGATCTTTGATTCACTTACTTCACTCGTCCATTTACAAATGCATTTCGTAATACTTATACATTTGTGTAAATAAACTTCGTTCATAAGTGAATCGCAGATCATGTGGCTATTATGGAGTAAGATTTTTATTGCCATTGGCCGAAGCTAGGATGCCTTGTGCCACCTTCGTTCTTTGGATCATCAGCGTAACTCCTTTTTGGTAAAATTGTTAGTAAGTTCCGTAGCTGGACCAGTTAGAATAGTGGACAAGTCTGTGCCCGAAATTTGTGTGTAAAAAGCTGCGAGTGCTCTTGCATCTTTTGCTCTTAGATTTGGGGATGCTTCCATAATAATTTCTTTAATCCAATTAGCGATTGTGGAAGTTGCAGGAGGTTTATGGTTTGTTGTCAAGATGAGTAACAAGTGAGATTTCTGCTTTGCCGGGACTCTGTTCATTTTAAAAGGGTGTTTACTATGGTTAAAGAAGATATGTCAGGTAATTCCTTATAGTCTCCTACATAAATCTTTTTTTGTAGAGGATTTATTTCCTCTGTGTGATACTGAAATTTTATATTCTTTTGGATTTTTTATGAAGAACATTACACCTTCATCCATTAGCATCACGAATTTTTTCAAGTAGATTTATAATGATATATAATGCTTAATCGTTTTATATTGATTAAATTTAAACACTAAACATTGATTAAGCGATATATATCATAAATCACTTATTATCGATAATGGGTAAGAAATCGATATAGATCAAACTATTAATTATCATCGAACTAACCAAAATCATAATATATTGATCACTACATTATTAATCGATAATTAACACTTTAATTAGAAA